CAATCGAATCGGTTCTGTTTGGACCTTTTGGGTACATGGAATACCGCGTTCTTTGAATCTATCGAATTTTGAGTTTGCGCTACATTTATTTAACTTTTCTTGAAATGCTTAAAAGGAAAACACTTTGTGAAATGGGAGAATTCTATCACATGGACTATTCTCTTCTGATTTTAAATGTTTAATTCGTATCTTTAACCCTGAACATTAAAATGGCAATGAAAAGGCATAATTTTAAAGAATAGGTGATCTATAGAAAGGGAACAGACTTTTACAAATGATTGATGAAATTCTATTACTGTTAGTCTTTGTTATTGTTGTTAAATGTGAAGATTTGCTTGAGAGTGTCCTTAATTTTCCTGGTAGATAGTAATGAGAAGAAATAGGTAATTTCTCCACCTTGAACACTTTCAGTACAACATTCTGGTTAGCTTTAATGATTTGGGTATGGAAGATAATTGTCTGGTTTAAGACAGGCATTTAACCTAAGTAGCACTTGAAAACACAAGTTCTAATGTTCTTACTGCTCTTTTATTTGGGAAATTTGTGATTTTGTGAATTATTAATCAGCATATTGTTTCTGTCGGGAACTTTATTATCAAAAGGGTTTACTACCAAAAGTAGGTGCCCATTCTCTCCAGGTTTATTTTATAAACGTGTGTGTTAATTTTCACTTTTAAAAACCAAAGCTGAATTAGATTATTTTAGAATCACCTGTAGTTCAGGCTGAGGAAATTTGAGGCTTTTTTCCTTCTTGTTCGGTCTAATGTCTGTTTGCTTGCGCACAAGTTTTTGTCAGTAAGAGTTTGTTAAAGACATGAAGATAGTGGGATTAAAAATAGTCTTTATTCTCTTCAAAATGTGTGTGTAGTGTTAATAAAAGAGCTCAAGAAATCTAGAGACATTTATCAGATTTTTTTAGTGTAAGCAAATTTTAAGGAGAAAGGGATTTTTTAAAAAATATTTTCTCATTAACAGGTATTTTGCTGCATATTAATACATTTCGTTCCCTTTATCTTTCCTATGTTACAATGAAATTAGAAGCTTAATTTTACAAGTATTTTAAAGTATCAAATTCAAACAGCTGACCTCAGACTGGGCTTTTCAATGACCAAGTTAGCATTTTGTTTAGGTAATTAACATTAAGTCTTTTTAAATCCACAGATTTTCTAATGCATTTTCAATGTTGGGATACAAGTCTAACTTTCAAACTCTATTTACATTCTAAACTTTTTGTTTTAAGACTTTTCTGTGAGTCAATATTCATTCTTCCCAGGCTGCTTTCTAAGGCTACTACATACTACAGCCTAAGGAAAGCCGCCTTTCACCCCTCTAGTCTGAGAAAAAGCCCATACTTAGGGGGCATATCCTGAAATTAACTCTTATTTCAGTAGTGAAAATGTGCTAAATATCCTATTTATCACTGAATTATTTTCGAAAAGGTATTAGTCTCATTTGCATTTTAGATATAAAGTAGGCGAGAAGCTGGTATATAATGGCAGAAATTTTATACATAGCATAAAATAAGTACGTGTTTATGTGGAGAGATCCAGATCTCAGTTGTCTGCTGATCTGAGCTTTAAATCCATAGTTTAAGCATGCAAATGATATTTAAATTGTATTCTGTCTAGAAACTTCATCGGTTGCTTCTGCTTTGGGGAACTAAGAACTCAGTTCTAGGTGACCAGTCACTTTTCCAGAAAATCAGGGCACTCCCAAATTCAAACCTCTTCAGAACCCCTCGACATAAGTGTTTGGGACGAAGGGAAAGAAATTTAGACTCCGAAGTTGGGCCAGGAAGATGGGCAGTTTGAAGCCCTAGTTTTCTGACCCCCTGGAAGCGATCACTAGCACTGAAGAATGGCTGGAACCATTGGGCGGGCCCCCTCATCGAAATCTCATTGGCCTTGTTGCTACCTTGAGCTTTCATGAGGGGGCAGAGGCTTGGTTCCGTGTAAGTTAAATCCTTGAGGAAGAGCAGCAGCCCTTCTAGACAGTACTTTATCAGATCTGAAACTCAGCGCACAAGTAGGAGCATAACCGCCCTGCCCCATTCTGTGCAGAGACCCTGCCACTCAACCTTTGCATCCCTAAAGGGGCTGGGGTCTGTGCAGGGTCCTGATTGCTACTGTGCGAGCTGGGAGGAGCTGCTGCTTCTTCACGTGTGAATTTTTGTGCGGCGGGAGTGCACCAACAGTTTCTAAGTCCCCTTCCCGACAACTTGGGTGCAGAGGAGGGAGTGCAGAAAGTAAGCACTGAGAGCCCTACTCAGTACTGGAGATTGCCCCCTAAGGGAAAATTCTTTACAGGGTCCAAAGCCTAGGTTTCTACCTCTCAGAGTGGGTCTCCCCTTTAGGGAGCCACGTCAGGGACCACTGGACATGGGTGGGTGGCTCTAGGTAGGGATTACTCCAGTTTCCTCTTTGGTGGCCAGGGTACTTTGCCCTGTTTCTTCCTCTTTATTGGGAAGTAGCTATGGGTCGGCCCAGATCTGAAGTAGTTAATGCTGGATAGAATGGGACTTTGCTAAGAGAAAAGGAAGCCATGAATACCTAGCAAGCAGATTTGTCTAGAAGGTGAAGGGATATATTAGCAGACTTCGAGGGCTCAGACATTGACAAAGTTTATGGACTGGACTGCCCTAAATTTTGTGATTATTAGTCCTCTCTTTTCCAGGAAGCTAGGTAACATGTACTCAGCTTTCTCTGGGCCTAAAAGGAGGGGAGGCACGTCTCCTTACTTTCGTGGGAAGGGATGTTTATGGAAATGGAAGCCACATACGGGATAGGCACATCCTTCTCAGGAGGGAGCCCTGGTGGTGCAGTGGTTAAAGAGCTTGGCTGCTAACCGCAAGGTTGGCAGTTCGGACCCTCCAGCTGCTCTGTGGGAGAAAGATGTGACAGTCTGCTTCCGTAAAGATTTACAGCCTTGGAAACCCTATGGGACAGTTCTACTCTGTCCTATAGGGTCACTATGAGTCGGAATCAACTGGACAGCAGTGGGTTTGGTTTTATTTTTTCTCATGATGGAGGCAGCAATGCATGCTTGAGAAAGGCAGGGGAAGGGCTTCAAGGTCTGTATCCTCCGAGCTCCTGCAGAAGGTGATGGGAAAAGTATAGTAGCATTGGCAGGGGGTCCCCTGGAGAAAGTCTTAGCTTTTCCCCAGCTGCCAGAGCTGCAGACTGCAGTGAGGGAGTATGAACATTTGCTGTCTATTTGCGAGAAGGAAAATAGGCCCTGTATTATACATCAGATCTAGGAATAGAGAAATCAGTTATTTCTGAGCCCCCTCTTTACTCCTGGGCCCCTTTCTGAGCCCAGAGAGGTCCCCTTTCGCTGTCACTGTTGAGACTCATTGGTTAATTAATGGTTGGTAGCCTAGCTGTCTGCCTGAAAACTAGCAGTCATTTAACGTTTTACTCTTTTTTGGGGGGGGGCTTTTTTTGGACACATATGAATTCGTTGGAGGAAGGGCAAAAGGGGTGAGCAAACCTGCTTTATGAATCCCTTAAGGGTCTACGTTTCCCAGGAAATTCCTGACATTTTTAGCTCGTGAATTTCCTAAAGCCTCCCTGGTTTTATCCATTCTAGGTCCTTCCAGAAAGGAAGAGTGGGCTAGGGGCTTCGGCTCGGCAAGGCCTGGTTCATCCGTAGAGCTGGCCAGCTACCCAGGCTGGGCTCAGCCCTGAGCAGGGTGCCCCCCTTACCCAAATCTCAGAAGGAGGAGGGGGAGGCAGGCGGGCAGTCGTGGTCCCAAGGGGGGTTGGCTGCAGGTTTTTGGGTGAGTGTGGGGATTCTTTTTGATTGTTGTTTGGGGGAAGGGCAAAGCCAACGGGAAGAGGCACTGCGGCCTCCCCGGCCCTGGTGCGGCTGCCGTCTTCCCCTCGGCTCCCCCACGCGGGTGAGTGCGCCTGCCCGCCTGCCCGGCCGTGCGGGGCTGCGGTTGGGGGGAGGGGGGAGTGGGATCATCTGAGGCCAGAGCTGCTTTGCCGTGCGCGGGGAGGGGGAGCGGCTGGAGCGAGGGGAAGGACGGGCTAGGTGTCTGCTGCTCCGTGCCGCTGCCGGCGCCCCGGCCTCGTCCCTGGCAGCCCCCTCTGCAGCTGAGAGTTACCGCCTCACCACCTCTCCTCTTCCTCTCCTGCCTCTGCGGCCAGGGCTCTGCGGTAGGAGACAGCCCAGCCAGGCAGCGGGTGGGCCTGTTTGGGTTTGGGTCTGGGTCTGGCTGGAGCCCGCAGGGGAGGGGTGGCCGTGACTTGGTGTCCCCTCTTTGCAGCGGACTCGACTGCGCTGTGCAGGCCCCTCCCCCGACATCCTCTTTGGGGTCACTGGAAAGCAGAGTTCAGGCCTGCTCTCTGGGCTTAGTATGGCAATCCCCTCTTCAACCCTATTACCCTGTCCGGACCGAAGCCACTCAGGGTCTGGCCAACAGCGACAGCCACAGTGGTGGTGGTGGCAGTGGCGGCAGCTGCGACGCGGCGCGTCCTGCTCCTCCCCCTCCCCAGCCAGGGGTGTTGATGACGACCGGTGGGTGGGCGCCGCCTGGCGGGCGGGCGGACAGGGGGTTGGCAGCGGGGAAGGGGCGCGGGTCACGTGCCGGCAGGCGGGTGGGCGCGTACAGTAGGGTGCCCTGCTACTGTACTCGGGAGTCAATGCCCTGTTACCGGGTCTCGTCTGTCTCGTCTCTCCCGCAGATCTCGCGAGAGTAGCTGACTGGCTGTGGGGGTTGCGGCGGCAGCAGGCGGAGCCGGGGAGGGAAAGCAGCGG